GAATTAGGAGTGAAGGGTGAGATGTGGATTCAACCTCAAATAGGGATAAAAAAGAAGTAGCCATCATGGAAAAAGCTTCTCCAACATTAAAGGTGGGAGCTCCCCATTGGTGGGGATAAGGAATATATATCCTACATGGAAAGGACTATTTTTATTGTCAAAATCATCACATGAGAAGGTGAGAGACATAAAAAAGAAAAAAATCAGTGTAACTAATCAATAAGCAATCAAAGTTGCATTGATGCTCTACAAAGTCTAGAGTAATTGAGTATTTGAAATCTTTGATTTAAAGTAGAAAGCAAAGACAATGAGAAATTCGAGCATTCTAAAGTGAAAATGGAAAGAAGAACTGAAAGATAAAGAAGGACAGGATGGTTCAGAAGAAGAAGAAAATGGAAATATTGAAGCCTTAGTGAATATAGAAGAAATGAAAAGGGTTAGGAAGAAATCAGCCAAAATCAACACAAAATCAATTACAAATTTTGGAGATTTGGGAGAGGAGTGGAAACACTTAGGTCTACCTGGGGAGGGAAGCTCAGGATTTGAGGGGAAATTTGGGAATCTGTGGAGGGAAGTGAAAATGTTTGCTGCCAGCTAAATGGGCTTTTAAGTTTTAACAAAATCGATTAGAAATTGTGGAGATTTGGGAGAGGGGCGGAAACACTTAGGTCTACCTTGGAAGGGAAGCTTGATATTTAGAGAGAGAAAATTGGGAATCTATAGAAGAAAGTGAAAATGTCTGCTAGCGCTTGAAATTAAAAAGGAAAAATTACATTTGAGACACAATAAATTATACAAACCAAACACAGTAATCCGTCTCCATAAATATACTCTATACAAACGGATAATCAATCAACCGTTTGTATAAACCTTTCCTATACTAATGGATATATTTTTCCATTGGTAGAGATCGGTGTATAGTGACTATTTAAGTTTTCCATTGGTATACATGGTTTATACAAATAGATTCTTGTTTGTTGGTAAAGACTGCCATTGGTAAAAGGCATTTTGCTTGTAGTGATACTAGTAGGATAAAAAAAAAAAAAAAAACCAATGTTTATACTCCAATAGACAGGATAACAAAATGAATCGGTTCCCCAACAATACATGTTAAGATGTACAAGTGTTTACCAAACTCTCATTGGTGGTTGGGAATCATGGCTATCTCATAAGCAAACAATGCAAGAATATAAACAAGACACTTAATGTAACACCCCATATACCTTGATGAATAATTTAAAAATTGGTGAAATACCCAAATCCACTCCCCAAGTATAGTGGTAGGGACGGATCCACCCTCGAACAAAATACGGGGACAAATCTACCCACAAAGTTTTCGACTTAGACAAATAACCCATTATTTGACGGGCCACATCAGCTACTGTCATCTTCCTGTTAATGGCGTGCTTACTTAGACATTTTAAACATGGTGGAGGTTTTTTTGCCTGCGTGGATGCTAAACTGGCCCATTCTCGCCCATTTTAATCTTACGTGGCGATTTTTCTCCCCTTTCCATCACACGTCAATTGGGCCCCACCTATAAAATTCCATAAAACCCTTAAACGGCTAAAACCTAACTTATTTCTATGTTTTCCCTTTTGCTTCCCTCTTCTCCTGAAATTTGAAATCGTGGGTTAGGGTTTCTCTTTACCCTTTAAATCTGGGTTTGGGAAGGGTAATTCCATGGCATCTTCCTCTAATTCTCGATCATCAGGACTTGAAGCTTTTTTTGGGTTGAGGGATTTGGGTTGATTGAGCACACATACGAAGGGTGTCAAATGTTCTACAAATGTGGATTAAAGGCACTGAGGTGGACTTCAAGGAGACCATGGAGAATTGTAGACGCTTTTGTGAGTGCCCAAACTTCTTAAATGCTGTACGCATAATTTATTCGTTATCGGTATCTAATTTTGTTTTATCTTGTAATAAATATTTACACTTAGAAATATTTTTCAAGTAGGATTTGAGATGTGCATACTTTGTTTGGCATGACTTTGAACTAACAATTGAGAGAGCTACTGAGCTTTTAAAATTGTTAATTAACGAGAAAAAGTATATGAGTAACAAAATTGCAACTTTGAAAAGGCAATTAAAACAAAGAAATTTGGGTGGAACTATACTTGTGTTAGATGAGTCACTTGTATTGGTTGAGTCAAGCCATGCCACGTCAAGTGTTAACCTGCAAGAATCTAGCCAAAGAAATGGAGTTGAATTGGAGGAAATTATACAAAATGTCGTGTCAAAAGCTATTGATGGTGTCATGAGCAAGTTGGATGCCTCAATTTTAGCCTTTATCCATTCTGAAATTAGGAAATTAATATGTATTTATGTACTAGCTTTGGGGTTTGGGTTTGTATTGGTTATGTTCATTTGGTTCTTATTTTGAGATCCCTACTGTAAGGTATAAGGGGCGTCATATTTTGTTTGTTTGTTGGGGGTATGGCATATTTTGCTTAGTTGTAAGCACATTTTGGTCATGTCCTTTGTGGCAGTAACCAAATGTAATTGACTTTTTTTGCAATGGACAATAGCTAAATCACAATCATGATGTTACCCTGAAACATGCAACTACACAAGCAAATTTGATTGAATATAATGCCATTAAAATAAAGCAAGACAAGACATAATAATGCAAGGCATTATAACCACATGTACATCCCCAAAACAAGGCATAATAAACAACTGTCAAATGTGATTACAAACCACCAACATATATATACAAAAGTTTAAAGTACATCCCAAAACAAGAAAATATAAAATGACATCCAGTCATGCTTTCTCTTTTCCCTTTACAGATGATTGCTTTGTTTTGTTTCTTAAGTCATTTTTTCCTTCATTGATGACTACTCCTCTAACCTACATAATATGCATACTAGTCATTAAACATTTGAAATTTAATATGTGAAATAAATATTCAAGCACAATAATTCTGAAAAAAAACTTATACAATCAATCTCTCTTTTGGCCCTTGTTTCCCTTTTAAGTGGTTCCTTGCCTTTAGCATCATTCACCCTTTTTTTGGCCAATGTTTTAGTTTGTTCTTGCACCTTCTTCCCTTTTCCTTTTCCTGTAGTCACCTTGGGTTTTTGGTTGGCCTTTTTCTTTTGATGCTTTTTATCAACCTAAAATTGCAACATTGAAATTAAAACCAACAAAAAAGATAAAAACTTACATTGCTTTGACTGGTCCCTACTAACTCCTCCTTTCTGGGACATCTAGCTTTATTGTGTCCTTGTTGACCTCACAAGCTACAACTCATCACAGACCCATGCTTGGACAACCTGCTCAATTTCCCCACCTTAACTTTCTTAGGCTTATGCTTATCTTTTCTTCTATTCCCCCTTGGTCGTCCTGGTGGTGTTCTCAACACTGGTGGTAAATAACCTCTTTCTGGTCTTCTCTTCAAGACCTCATTGCCTTTAAGGCACTCCAATGCAGTCCCATAAGTTTGCAGGTACTTTTCCTTCTTATAGTGCTCATGAACAAAATCTTCATAATTCCAATTTATGTACCTAACAACTGCCAAGACATGAGGGCAAGGGATTCCAATTAAATTCCATTCTCTGCATGAACAATTTTTTGTTATGAAATCAATGACATGTGTCACATCAGAAGTAGTATCACACACAGCAAATGAAGGGTCCCCATTCCACTAGACATAGCACTGCATTGACCTCATGGTAGTTTCTTTTATCTTTGTCATGACCCTAGGTGCAATATCATTCGGCCATGTCTCTGCAAACAATCTTTTTTCCCTGAATCTCTCCATCAACTGTTCAATTAAAGCTTTAATCATAGAAATGATTGCTTTACACCTAGCAGCCAAAATCCATGAATTGAATGTTTCACACATGTTGTTATTAACAACATCACATTTACAATCTTCATCAAAAAATGCCTTGCACCAAAACCTTCTTGGCAGATCCATCATCTCGACATAAGCTTCCTCGGATACTCCCCTCAACTCCTCCATTTTCTCCAGAAATTCAATTTGGTATGATGCCCTTACAGTTATCCAAAAGGTCAGTTTGATATCATCCTTTCTATGCCTTTTTGCAAGGTTGCACTATAGGTGTCTCGCACAATCTTTGTGATTTATAAGTGGCAAAACCTCTGCCTTTGCACAGATAATTCCCTACAAGATTAATTTAATAAATCAAGTTATTTAACAACATAACACATAAAATATCAGGAATATACAAAATAATGAAAATACATACTGGATGTCTGTCAGATATCATTGTATAACCATGCCCAGTTCCAAGCTCCAAATCAAATGCAAGCCTCTGCATGAACCATGTCCATGAATCATTGTTCTCATATTCGACTACAGCACATGTAATTGGGTACATCTGGTTATTTCCATCACGACCAACAGCAGACAATAGTACACCTTTACAAATTCCCTTAAGAAAACAACCATCAACTCCAAAGATTCCTCGACAACCATTTTTCCAACCATCTTTGATAACTTTCAAACAAACATACATTCTCATGAACACTTTCTCACCAACATCATTTTCTTCAGTTTTAATGAAAACTGAGTTTCCAAGATTGACCTCCTTCAAATACGCACCAAATGCATGAATCATGGCATACTCATCCTTAAAACTCCCTTCCATCTCCTTCAATACCATCTTCTTGGCTCTAACACATTTATTATAATTTATACTAACCCTCAACTCTTTGTATACAAATATCATCATATCTTTGCATTTCAAGAAAGGTGTAGCATAAATTCTTGATTTAAAGTACTCAGCAACCATCACAGTTGTCATCATCTTGTTTTCTGAATTTTTAACACATGTATGTTCAGAGTAGTATGTTTTTACCTGGAAACTGTCATCTTTATTGACAAATGAATTGTAAATCTCCCAACAACACAGACTAGATTTGCAAATGAACTTTTGTCTCTTAGGCTCGTTCCTTATATGGAGTAAAGGACAACTTTTCCTCACAGAATACTTTCTCACTGCATCCTTGAATTGTGCTGCATTTTGAAATCTCATACCAACTTCAAAGAATGGTACATTCCAAGAAGGATTAAAGTACATATTAGAAGCTTTCCGTTGTCTCGTTGTATCGGATGAAACAAAAAACAAATCTTTTTCTTTAGATTCAATAGATGAATCCCTCAACTTCCCAACATCATCACTGTTTTCATAATGACTGTCTCTGCCATTATTGTCACTTTTAGACACATCATTCTCAACAGGAATACCTTTAGAAGGATGTAGAGGATCTCCTTTCTTCTGTTTAGTTAGTGTTGAATTCTTTCCCTTTTGACATTCCCTCTAATGAGGTAATGTTTTGTACGTTTTTTCTGCAAGCTTTGCCTTCTCTTTCCTCAACCTACTCAACTCAGCAGAACCTGATGATGCAACCTTCTTACCCCTAGAGACTGGAGTAGATCTAGTGGCTAGCTTTTTTATAGGGGTAGATCTAGGGGTTGGCTTTTTTATAGGAGTAGATCTAGGGGTTGGCTTCTTTGCAACATGCTTGTACTTGACCCCTTTTGGTGTTTGAAGCCCACTGGGAACTTCTAACGCTTCTATTGGTCTCCTAATAGACCTTGCACATTTCTTCACATCAATTAACTCCTCATCATCTCTATCACTACTGCAAAGGGGTTCTACTTCATCATTTGTCGAGCTCTAGTCATCAACATAACCATTAGTTGACCTAAACTCTAATTCTCCACAATTGCCTTTATTACCCTTACTACATTCATCTTTCTCAATTGTATTTCCAGTATTACCCTTACTGCCAATGGGGTACTCTGGGGTTAGGTTACCCAAGTCACCTTCATCTACTCCGCCACTGACCTCACCATCAATACCTTCACCTAGCCTCTCTTCATGTCCACTTTCCTCTTCACCTACCATTTCTTCATGTTTGCCTCCTTCCTCAACTACATTGTTATCTACCCAACATAATTGTGGAAAAGCAAGTTAGGCAAAATTGACCTCATGATCAACAAATATATTGTAGCATCCCTTTTTTGGTAAACCTTCTGGGTTATCAAGGAGGGAAATGCACTGCACAAGATAAAAAAAACAGCAAGAAAAATCTATAGAAATAGATTTCAGCGAAAGTAAAAATTCTTCTAATATAAAATGTTTCCTTATGAGAAAAACCCACTTTCAAGTAAGTTTTAATTTTGTGGAAAGAAATCAATTACCTATAAGGGAAACTAATTTAATGGAAAACATTTTAAGGAAAATATTAAACTAATCAAAATTCTAAAATAAGTTGGATTATGCCCATTTAAATTAATTTTAATGTCATAAACACAAAAGTAATTTATACAAAAAAATACATTAAAGCAATTGCTTTTCAAAATACTTTCTAAAATAATAAAAGCAGAACTATCATTTTGGTACCACATTAATCTGCCTCTACTTCAAAAGCACTAAAGTCAATATACGAGATTTACACCGAAAGCTTTCAGGCTGAATAGCCACTACTCTAGTCTACTAATCTGAAATGGGGGGAAAAATATCATGAGCTAAAAAGCCCAGTAAGTATAAGTTAAAGTTACAAACTTGGGTCCTACGACCCTTAGACCTACACATATGAAAAGCATAGCAGATAATCAAATTAAGCCACATAATATTATAAATTTCAGTATTTAAATAACAATTTAATATCATCAATTAATTGACAGATAATCCAATATGTTAAGGAATAACCAATAACATTTAGTTCAATCAATATCATAAAATCTTATGCTCACAAGTGTGATGTCACAAGCATAATACATAAAATCAAAAATCATTCAATGTTATGGAGTCCATTGATGTGTGCTAGCAACACTAGTATCGGAGCTAATCACGACACTTACCCTACTGTGCAGAGGTCCACTGAATACCCCGAAGGATCCACTGAATACCCCAAGCTTTAAGCTTAGATCCACTTACTCCATAACCACAAACGCATATGCATGTCACACAAATTCAGTATATGTCCAAAATAATATTAAAACTTTATCTCATTTAATGTTTCCATTAATCAGTAGTACTGACAATTCAAGTTCACACTAATATCCATATACATAGCTCCCATATTCCATATAACTCCCCATTAAAAGTAATTAAGGTATAGTGCGTGAACATTATGCGTAAACAATATGCGTGAACAGTGAATCATGAACAGTACACGAAAACAATGATTCATGAAATAGGATGCGTAAACAGTAACTAGAATTACTTCCAGGCTCATGGACAGTAAGGTCCAATTAATTGAGCAACCTTCATTTCGTCATGCGAAGCATACAAAGAAGCAATAGCATATTATTTGACCATCAAATTCACACTAAATTCAAGCATAAAAAGAATAAAACTTATTAGGAAGGCCATCCCGTAAGCCCCAAAAATTACAGATATTTCTAATGAAATTTTAATGTCAAAAAATCTTATAAACTAAAGGATTTGGGTCAAATCTCACCAATTTAAACTAATTGTTAACATATTTTAACAAATCCATAAACTACCCAAAACTTTAACCCAAATTCATAGCCAAAACAACTTACCTAGAAATCAAAGCAGCAAACTCAAACAACTAACAAAAATTGAAAGAGATTACATGGGAGAATGCGTTCCACACATCCCACTCGATAGCCAAAGAAAAGGTGTCAAGGACCGGTTGGAAATAAAGAGGAAAGATGCAGAGAGCTGGTGGTTTTGGGTTTCGGGAAGCTTAACTCAAAAAGGGATTTCCCTTTTCTAAAATGTTCCAGAAGAGGCTCGGGTTTCTTAATTCAAGCCAACATACTTGGTTGTCATGTTGCCAAGTATCTCTAATTTTGGCTAAATAAGTTTGATAGTCTCTAACTGATGGGAATCAAGACGACAGCATATCTACCACGTCATGTGATCCATTACACACCCAAGGAGGTCCAGTCACACAAGCTAGAGCTAAGAAGATGCGTGAAGCTTTAAATGGCCTTATTGAGCAGATCTGGGTTGAAAACAACATACAACAAGCAAATCAAAGCTTGGATGATTATCAAGGCATG